TATATATATATATATATATATATAATGATTACTTAGCTTGTATGTATTTATGGAAAATACAATGATGAACATTAAAGAACATGATCATATATAAATATATAATCATGATTGCTCAGATTGTTTGTATTTGTATAACTTACTGAGTAATGAACAGTAGAGATAGTTTGGACAGTAGAGATAGTTTGGTGGCACAAAAATGGAAACCTTTAGGAACAGTTACGGGCCGCCGAAATCCGATTATATATGCCTGTACTTAAACATTTATGTAATGAAAAAATTAAGGCAATTTTGTAAGATCTTTTATAAATTACAATTCTACATTATAATAGTTATACTCTAGATACGATCAAAAATAATAAATTTGACGGTATAAAAATTCTACAATTCACATAGAAAAAAAGCACCGTCCTTATGAAGTAGTCGATGTATTTTGGTTGTGTCTGTGACTCCGCTTTTGACTGCCAATGTCAATCGACCACACAAACTGATTGTTTGTTCTGCAGTCATTTCTAGAATTTTCATCATTATCCTCTACTACAAAAACACAATCATTTTATAATTTTCCAATACAAAAATCATTATCTCTAATCAAGAATAGAAGACAATATACATTTTCAACTATAAAAATCATTATCCTCTAATGCAAGAATGTAAATATTTATATTCATATCCAAGGAAATAAAAAAGACTTGAGGAACAAAACAGAATAACTTCCAGGTTGTATTGAAGTCTTAACTAGGAGAATGATTTTGTCAAAATTAAAAAGTTCTTATATATGTTTATATTATTTTTAATGACAAAACTGTAATAACCATTAATCTCAATGAATTATAGTCACAAATAAACATCTCAATAAAATAGGATTATAACAAAAACAAAACTTTCAAAAATAAAACCTAAATAAAATAGATTAGAAACAGAATAGGGTAGTGCTTCCATGCTGGAAAGTTGGACAGGTGACTGCCCAAATGCAGGACTGTTTGCTCACTTTACTTTGAGCTGGTGTGCTTTCCCTTCAGCAGTTCTTTGTCTTGATCAAGACAACATTTTTTTTTTTTATTTGGTTAAGTAATTTGAACATTTGCTTCTTTCGAAGGTGTGCTTGTTGGAGCGAGTGTGGATGTGGTTACATTTGATATGCTTAAGGATTTCCAGACGTTTACTTTGAATTACCCAGGTGCTTGATGGAGTATAATTGAGGTTTAAAGATCTAGCTAATTAGAAAATAAAAAACAAAGAACAAAATGTTCAAGATATTTGACTCTCTGATTCAAATGTTGCAATGTCAGAGGAATACATTTGTCAGAGGAATACAATTGTTTTTCTCTGATTCAAATGCTGATATTGTCAGAGGAATACAGTTGTTTTTATCTGATTCAAATGCTGCAATGTCAGAATACATTTGTCAAGGAAATGGAAGCATCTTTCTCAACCATTTAATTGTTATCAAGGTTTTTATTATTGGACTAACACACAACTGCATGAGTACGTGTGTGATGATCCAACGGAAAAAATTCGATGACTTCAATGCAGTTGTATGTAGAGTCGAATCTTCAGATAATTTTATAGTATGAGTGTGTGTTGATCCAACGGTAAAAAATCCTGCAATGCATGTGAGTATGTGTGTGTTGATTCAATTGTGAAAAATCTTGCAGTGCAGTTTTATGTAAGTAATCTCAATCTTTTAACCATTTTACAACTGATAATATATGATTTTAAAACTTGAAGTACTTAACTTTGTACATTTTATCCTATGGCTATGAATTGAATGCCTATACTTTAGTTCTTATAAAACGTAATTAATCATCTCTAGATAATAGGCTTGTAGTGGATAATTCTAATTTTCAAAATTCACATCGTGTTTGAAAATCATGATTTTCAAAGATTAAGAAATCACCCACAATTTGGATCTTGACTATACTGGTTTTTCTAAGAGCATCCACAACGGGCACTATTTTGCTCCATTTAAATGATAATCGGTCCGTTCAAACCAATGCGGGCGTTCATTTGTATGTGGGCCCCTTTTGCCCGTTAATAACTTTGAACGGCACCTTGGGTGCCTTTATTATTTTTTTTGTTTTGTTTTCATTTAATTTTATTCTTTTCTTTTTCTTTGTAATTTTAATTCTACTATTTTTAATCTTTTTAATAATACTAGTTTTAATTTATTTAATTTTACTAATTTTATTCTTTTTAATTCTATTATTTTTTTTGTTGTGTAATCTTAATTTAAGTTATTTTGGTCTTGTAGTGTTCTCTTATTTTTATGCATTTAAAATTTATTATTATATTTTAAAAATATTAAATTTTTATTTTTATTGAGAATAGAATATTAAAATTTATATTGAATGAATGGATATAATGGATCCCATATTTGTATTTAAATGAATGTGAAGGGATGTGGGTATGTGTTTAAATGGAGAGAGAATTAGTGAAAAGATGATATGGATGAGAGAGAGTGTAACTTTTTGATTGAATGAATGGAAAAAATGTTAAACCAATGCAGATGCCCTAAGTATTCACCATGTGATTCAACTAAAAATGGCGACGTTTTATGTCAAATCCTATATAATAAGAATAAAGCGCATTTTTTTATTAAAATGAAGAAATAAAAGAATAAAAAAAAAAAAGAAATTCAAACGAATCCAGAAATGTATATTCTTGTTTGTCACCTCCGGTCGTTTACTTGGAAAATATTGGCCCAATGACTTCTTAGCTGATAACAATTTTTATTAGCGGAAGGTTGATATGTTACCATGCTTTTTTATATTTTTATTTAAGCTTAGCGTTTTGCACCCACAAATTAAACAAAGAATTTTTTTTTACCAAACGTCTGAAAATCATATTAGTTACTCCTTCCAATATAAACAGACTTTTATCATGTTTAAACATGAAAACACAAAGCTAGATACATTATTCAGGCAAAAACACAAAGCCAAACATAACATAATTCTTCAGATATTGAGCTAGAGTGACAAGAACATCCAGTAGCTAAAAATCAGTTACTAGAATGAGAAAAGGCAAAATACCAAACAAAAAATTATCTCAGTTTCACTTGAGGGAATTCGCAATGTCGATCACAAACCGGTACTTCACATCCCTCTTTATCATCCTCTCCAAGGCCTCGTTCGAATAATCAATCGGAATTACTTCGATTTCAGGGTAAATTTTGTGAGCTGCACAAAAATCCAACATCTCTCGCGTCTGCTTTGTCCCGCCCGTTATACTTCCTGTAATAGTTTTTCCACCTACAAGAAGAAAAGTCGAGCTCAACACAAGAACAGAAAATAATACTAAGAATGATAATAAATAAAATTGTTCATTTTTTTTTTCCCAAAAACATACACACCCATTGAGAGATTCCCAGGATTAAATTTAACTTCACTTGGGAACCCAACCAATGCGAGCACGCCACCTGTCTTCAACAGCGACAAATACGAGTCGAACGAGATGTCCCCTGAAGCCGTATTTATGATGAAGTCGAGAGACTTATTCAGTGCCTGAACCAAGACCAAGGTAAAATTTCTTAAAAACTAACCGCACAACTTAGCAGAAAACGAAAAAAATAAAAAATAAAAAAAAAACTTTTTATTTACTTTCATCTGCTCCTCGTCACTGGAAATTACGAAATCGTCTGCCCCTAAGAGATTGAGGGCCTCATCTTTCTTGGATAAGCTTGTGCTGAAAACCATAACCTTCAGCCCGAAAGCCTTCCCGAACTTTACCGCCAGGTGGCCCAGCCCGCCAAGCCCGATAACACCTAAAGACTTTCCAGGCTGATTCATACCATGCTTCACCATTGGGGAGTAAACCGTAATTCCAGCACAGAGCAAAGGGGCAGCTAGCTGTGCTGGGTAGTTTTCCGGTATTCTAAAGCAGTATCTGTAGAAAAATCGCCAAATATTTCTTTTAAATCAACAATTCACGAACAAATAAAATCGATACTACACAAATGTTTTTTATGACGAAACCTTTGATGAACCACAATGTGACTCGAATACCCTCCCTTGGTGATGGTGCCATCGAAATCTACACTGTCGAAAGTAAAGATTGGGCCTTTAGAGCAGTAGACTTCTAATTCATCTTCACAATACTCGCACTCTCGGCAAGAGTTAACGTAAGTTCCGACCCCAACATATTCTCCGACTTTAAACCCGCTAACTTTAGGTCCCACTTCCCTCACTATCCCCACAATCTCATGCCTATCAAACAAAATCGAACCATAAAGGTACAACCTTGTGCAGCTATATAATTTCCATACAGAACAAATTGAAAAGGGGCATCATAAAATTGACATATACCCTGGCACAAGAGGATATTTGGAGTGCCCAAGTTTGTTCCTTGTCCAAGCAACATCGGCATAACAAACTCCACAGTACATAATGGTAATTGAGACATCATCAGTACCTACAGATCTGCGCCATGGATGGATACTCAANTTTCAATATAACAGTAAATCCAAAAAACAAAACAGATAATAAATCGAGAATCGAGAATCATGAACAGATCTGGAGACCTGCGGGTGAACTTGTAAGGCGAGAGATGCCCAGAAGGATCCCTAGCGGCCCACCCAATGCAATTCCCATTTGCAGCATCCATTTTTTTTTTTGGGTTTGTTGCCACTGCTGAAAACAAGAGATAAAAACAAATAAATAAAAAAATAAAATTGTATACATAGCTACGAGATTTTCTTTCGCAGGCATTAAGGTAATGTAAAAGAAGAGGCTTTTAACTAATTCACCGATTTTACAGGGACAGCAATGGCCGATTAGAAGGAAAGTTGGATGAAGCAGCTTTTGTTTTCTACTGGGTATCGTCCATGGCTGATCCCCGAGCTTATATAATCACACACAACACTGTTTACCATACGACTGGCGGGATGAAGCTTACCTCAGCATCTGTGTATGCAGTGAGCTCAGTCTCAGATAATATGGGTTTTTTAGGTCAAAATATGGCAGTTTTTGTATGGAGTCATCTAAAGGCTCGGTTAAGAGCACCCACAATATATTGGGTCTCCTAATAAAATATTATATACCACATAGGGAATAGACTTAATCTATTAAAAAATGTCTCACAATACAATTAAAAGTAAACATGGTCTAGCTTATGTGACAATAAAAAAAGAGACCAAGTTCACACTTGGGTCTATTTTGGACCAAGTACAAACCCAAACACTCATAATTTATTTCATAATTTAAATTTTCTTTTAATAAAGGAAACATATTAGAGCATTTTTATTGGTTGATATGTATGCCAGAACTAGTATTTTATTTTTGCATTGAATAGCTTTTGAGTTTTTTTACTTGGGTTTGTCCATGTCATTTAGGACTTAAGTCTATTTATATGCCACATATGTAAAATTAGACACAATGCATTGTGGGTGCTCTAATGGAGCATGAACATCCATAGTTATTCACAACACAAATGGTGTATTGACACGTGTCTTGTAATAGATGTACATTGGACATGTGTCAACACATAAAGATACATTGGACATATGTCAACATATATAAAGTTATAGATGACTTCATAAAGGAGCTATGCGTAACTCCATAGAATTTATGCAAAATATGGACTATTTAGAANGGAAAAAAAAAAAAAAAAAATTAAAGGGAGAGAGAGGAGAATCTTGTTGTTATAATTTTGGTGATTTACTGCGTCTGCACTGACGTCATCCTTGGTCTCCTTGGAGCCTGGGGGGTTAGTTATTGCCTCTTGGAACTGCAATTTTTTCTGGTATTTAAATGAGTTTACTTGAATTTATTTGTGACCTATTGTTAGGCATGCCTAACTTAAACCACAATAAACAGAAACAGATGTTTCAAAGAATACTTACATTCTATCAAAAAGATATGATAGGTCGACCCGTCTAATGGTTAGGCTTACTCGCACATATTCATTACCTGTTGTGGCCATATTTCAATATAAGCACATATACACAAGTATTTACAATAAACTTTATAATGCATAGGAGACACTGAACACATCTACTCAACAAATGGACTGTAAGCTTGATGTTGCAATAGCCTGCCATCAGAAAATGTTGCCACAGAGCAAATTACATTCTCTTTTTGATAAAAAGAACTCTATCTAATCAGTACACAGAGATAGAGGCACAATCCCTCAGTGCATACATCTCAATTGAAGCAAAATAAGCTTCACTACTCGAAGAAAAGCACATCAACATTAGCCTGATCTGCAAATTCCCATGCTCAAAACAAGCTTAAATGTTTCATTCAACAACAATGGAATTAAGGCATTATTGTGCTCGCCGCTTGTTCGACTTTGGAACTTTTTCGCTCTTCGGCTTCAGTTCCGGGGGGCTGTTTGGCTGGTTTGATTGAGGTTCTTCAGGAAGAGTTGTGAGAAGAAATTTCTTGGTGGAGCCCACATGGTTGCAGATTTGCTTCAGCATACTTCGACCCCTCATCCACTTCAGCATCAATTTTAGGTGTGTTTTGCTGTTTAATCCACTTATTCCAGCATCCTGCAGTATTATTATTAATCAAGAGTATATATTTCATGACTGACGGCGCAAATTATTTGGCGAAAAAGAAAAAGTGAATCGATGAATTATAATGAAGAAAACCATCAAACCAACACGACACTATAACTTTTCTTGGAAACTCTGATATTACCTAATATAAAGATTTGATTTTTACTAAGAGAAAAAAAATATTAGGTGGATCAACGTATTGAATATTCCGTGATTATATGGAACTGATAAAAATTTTCATTAAGCTTAACAATTCAATGAATTCAGTCAAGGTGCGGTTATACATCAGCAGTTTGTATATTTGACACACTAGACATGATTGACAATGACTTCTGTGATGCTAAATTGTTTAGACATGCAAAAAAAAAAAAAAGTGCCATAGTTTAACAATCCGAAGCTCATAATCTATATATGGAATTAAGTATTAATGAATCAAAACTAGACATTTATGGGATGTTACAACACATAACAGGTTGTAAAAAGACGTACAAAAGGGTAGCACCCAATTTGAGCAATCAATGGGGAGTATATAATCATATTTTACCACAACAACCCCTCAAGCTCTTGCAGCCTCAAATTTGAACTCAATCCTTTTATTTGAACTTCAAACGACAAAAACCATATCCCAAGAATGTAACTAGTTTCCTTCAAACATAGTTGTTAGAAAAGCCGACACAGAATGGGCGGCATTGGTGATATGAAAAATGTCTGTCAGGCCAATACAACAATTTTTTATTGTTATTTCTTGACAATTTACATAAAGTGTTAAAGGCTACATGAAAGTGAAAAATATGTACTACGTCATTTAATTAACTTGAGAACATCAAAAAAATTAGGGGTCAGGTTAAATCTAAATTAGATCAAAACTACCTTTGACCAAATTCAAATTCAGTTCACCCCTACCCAGAAACCCACTGACCGCCACCTCCCGCCTCTCAGATTCCTCTCTCCTGTGCAGGTATCTTTTTTTATTTTTTCTTCTTTTCTTTTTTTTTTTCTCTTTGTTCTTTGATGTTCTCTTCCATCAGACTTTATATTTTCTTTCTTTGTCTTGCTACCCTTTCATTGTCTTGTTTAAATTCAACGGGTAATAAATTAAATACACAAACTAATACAGAAATGTAGTACTGGGTACACAAATGAAAAGTTCACGATATTTTCTTCGGGCCCTAGCCCAGATAGCTCGTGCAAATAAAACGATAGATCTCCTGAACTCTCTAATTTACTAGACTAACTAACACGTGACCTTCAAATTTCAAAAATATTCCTCTCTTTCTTGGAGTGTAGGTGAAGGTGAGAAAAAATAAACCAATCTAGTCATACTAAAACCAGCAAATTCTAGAGATGCTTCATCTCATCATACTCGATAACAAATCTTACCATAGCATATCAATAAACAAAGATACCAAACAATTGAACAACAGTATAACAACCAGCATTTCAAATTATCACCAAGTCTGAAGCAACGCACACGATTCACGGAGATGGCAGGCAAAAGTAATCACAATATGAAGTTGACAGTAAAAAAATCAGCTACTACAGATTAGCCACAGGTAGACCAGTTTTCAGTTCTCATCGTCAGAATGCATGATATTAACGGCACAGAACCGACCCTTTTAGACCATTTTAGTCTTAGAAACAGCTTAACTCAGTTCTTAACACAACAATCGAATTTCCTTTTATCAGCACCACGAGCAACTGAATACAATGTTCCAACCTTAATCCACTAAGTCCAAAATACAAGAACACAAAGTAAAGTGTCAACTGAATTTCCCAAAACCCACTTGCACCACAACTAATCCAATTTGTGGTTCAAATGGAAGTCATATTGTGGAATTGATCACACATCTCTCGGTATCAGCTTATGTAACAATCCCAAAAAATGAAAAACAAATAAAATAAATAATATTACAGGAGCTCATAAATCGGAGACCCATTGAGTTAAAACGGTACCTTGGCGTGGTTCCAAGTGCTTCCGATGGAGAGAGGACCATGGCTCTTTATGACGCCATAGAGATCTTCGGCGATGGAGGCTGCTTCTTGATATGGGACCCTAGGGTTTATCTTCCTCAGATTTGGGGCGCGCTTTCTTGAGCTTGAAGAGAAGTGCCTCACCATCGTCGCCATTTTCATCATTGAATTTCCATTGCTGTTCCACATTTTCAGTTCTCAAACCAACAAGGATTGTTCTTGCTCTCTGTCTCTCGTGTGCCGGAGCCAACTGGAACGGGAACGAAAACCCTTGTTAAGGGTGATTGTTTAATTAGTGATTTTTTAACTATAGTTAAGGTTGAAAGAAGTTAGTATGGTTAATTGGGTAGTGAGTATATTAAAATAATATTTAAAATAAAATAATTAAAATTGATATGATGAAAAGTAAGAGAAAAATGATTGAAAGTGATGATTAGTTAAAATTATGTGAGTAGATTAATAGTGAATTAAAATTGATGTGATGTGTAAGAATGATTGGTTGATATTATTTAATTATATTAATAATATTGGAGATAGTGGGGTTTGTTAAATTTGAGTTAAATTTGAGTTTTGATTGGATTTTTTTAAATTGAGATGATAAACAATCACCCCTTTTCAAACAGTGTGTGTTGTTTATTGAAATGACAAAAATACCTAATGTGTCTGAAGAAGAATATAAACTTTTTTCTGACTTTTTTCACCAGGAAATAATCTTCACATTCTTTAAAATAAAAAAAAAAAAGAAAAAAAAATTAAGCTTGGAAACTCCATTTAACTAATACATAAAGTGTGATATGATTTTTCATAAAATTTCACATTTTAAATTTTAAATGGTAAAAACAAAATTATGTTTCACAATAATAACTATACATGGTTTCTTGACCAACCTTTTTTTTCATTATTATACTCTTAGTCTTAGGCTCTTAGCCTCTTTTACTTATCAGAATATTATAGAATAACATTTTTTAGCTAATTTTATCCGGTATTTATTAACAGGGGTCGAGATTATGATAAATCCTATGTGTCATTTATGTGACATGATAATTCTCTATCTATACTCTTTGACCGAGAGGTTAATTCTATCACATCTTGAGGATGAAATATTTTTATCCCAACACAAAAATGATCTTTTTGTTCAAAAAATTACATATGTATAATGTCCTTGAATATCCAAATAATTAAATATTTAATAAAGCTAACTCAAGGGAGAAAAACTGATTCATGAGATTACCATCTCATCCTATCATATCTCATCACTTCAAGTAAACGAGATCTTAGGAACTAAAAATTAAACACAAAAAAAAAATTGTTGATAGTCTACATAGTGGTGCAAAAGATTTCGTTTAAACACATGTATTTTTACAGTAATGTCATATTTCATTTATTTTAGCTTTAAAAAATAATATTTAATTTGTTACAAAATATGATTGCTCAATGCAATAAATTCCTCAATGAAATTCCTCATAGATAGACACCAATACATTTTTAACAAAAAAATTATATACTTAAAATATAAATTTTATACTTTTATTTATATTTTTTTAAGGGCACGATTAGGAGTGTAATTTGTAAATGAATTGAGCAAAGTTTGAAATTTGAACTCTTGATATTTGTTTCGGGCTCACTGATGAAATGAACCGATAAATGAACTTGACTTAGTTTCCTTATATCAATACTAGCGACCAAAATAATTCAAAGTTTAATGACTGAAAATTAAACTTTAACGAATCAAGCTTTTGAAAATTATATAAAAATTTATATTTATCAAATTTGAAATTCAATCTTAACAAATCTAGTTTAACGCTTAGAACATGTTTGTTTATGGAAATTTTTTATTTTGTTTGGATTTTTTGGTTTGGTTTAGTTAATTTTGAAAAAAGTGGTATGATTAATTGTTAGTGGGTATATTAAAATAATATTTAAAATAAAATAATTAAAATTAATTTGATGTAAAAGTAGGAGAGAGATTATTGATGAATGAATAGTGAATTAAGATTGATGTAGTGTGTATGAATGATTGATTGATATTATTTAATTATATTAATAATATTGATAATAGTGAAGTTGAGTTAAAAAAAGTAATTGACTTTTTAAAAAATTTTCATAAACAAACTCTATTTTTCTTCAGTTTATGGACAAATAAGACTCGGTCAAATACTTTTGTGCCCTGAAAATCCACTCCATTAATCAATCCTTCATCCTCGGGACCTTTCCCCGTCTTCTTCGGTGCGGTTGTCTATCTGCGGTTCTGTTTGGTGCAGTCATGCTGATTATGATTCTCGTCTTCTAGCTTTCTCGCTTCCCCTCATTCGTGTGTGATGATTTTGTCCGCCTACAGTTTGTGCCAGGTTTATCCTCGACCAGTCTTAAAGATTTTGATTATTTTTTTCGGTTTTATGAAACTGTCTTTCTGATTTTCTAAGCAATGTGGATGATTTGGGCAAGCTTGTGATTCTTACCTTTATTGTCTGTGACAAGGTTTGTGCCAGTTTTAGAAGTAAGGAATTCATTTATTGTTCTTGCCCGTTAAGGTTGTTACTTGTTGTGCCTGCTTGAAAATTGCGTTTAGGGTTGATTTGCTGATTGTCTTCTTTTTAAGGTAAATGGGTAAGCTTATGTGTATCTTATGCCAACAAGGGATGTTTATATGGCCGCAATCTACATCAGGAAACCCTTACCAAAAAATTTGCTCCTCGTATCATATTACTTAAGCTCCGCAAATTTTTCCATTATTACATATGATATGATATAACTGCAAGAGCAAAAAATGCCTAGGATTGATCTTGTGTATGACCCTTCGCAAATTTTTGTTGAGACACCCAGAAAAAAAGAAGCATGAAGCTTTTTAAATAAAATGCCCGAAATAATTATTGCCATGTTGCTTGATGAGTCGAATTTGTGACGAGTTCAGTGATTTTTCTTAACACATTAGTTGAAGGGCAAATCTACAAATTTTATTAATCATGATTAGGTAAATTAAATGACAAATTGCTTTCTACTTACAAGAAGGCTCAAACCCTTAATCCAGAAAGGAAAGAAATAAATCAGAAAACATGTAATATAAAAAAATTATTTATGTTGGCAACATATGACGATGGAAAGTTCCAAGCGACAAGAAAATGCGATGGGCGGCTGTTCACGTGCTCATTCCTGGAATCAGCTTTTGTTCAGTCAGTTTTAAATTTTTAAGTGATTGAGCATTTTCTGGAAGCTCAGCTCTTTTTGCCCCAATTCACAACAAATTTGAAGCAATTGAGCATTAGTTGGTTGTTCAATCAACCTGGCAATGCTCCTTCCCTCTGGGCTCTTTTGGTTCTTACCTAGATTGTAGCTTAATTCGGCCGTCCGTTTGATCCTTTATTTTGTTCACGCCTTTTCAGATCAGCTTCATATTTGAAAAGTCATTGAAGCTTGGCCTCAGCATCACTTTGGCCAATATTCAGGATCTGACTGAAACAATGGGAATTGATAGGACTTAAAACAAATGAAAACATATACAAGAAAGCAAAAGCTCAATTACAATACTTCATGAACTTGGAAGACATTTATGTGGTGTTGCTCATATTTTTCTAGGATGCATTGACATCACCTTCAGCTAGTGAAAAATATTGTGGCCTCGACTTGTGTGAAAATCTTGGGCTTGATTTTTTTTTTGGCCTTAGATTCTTATATTTGTACATATTCTCCTGAATCTACTCTTTTAGTTTGCATCACTTTTCCTATCATCAGAATGACCTTGTCCTCCAGGCAAGTTATAAAGCCGACTGAAGTTCACCAGTATCTCCCAAGTTACTTATATCCCTGAGAAGACTGTGAGACCATTGAATTAGTATTTATTGGTGGTCTTTCGTTGCTGTCAATTTTATTCGTGTTGCTAAAATGGCCGTGGAATAACTCAGAGGTATCACGGTGTTAAGACATTCATCTACAATTAACTTGTAAAGGAAAGAGAAAAGGGACCTAAGAACTGCCTGCATGCTAACATGCAATGTGCAATCGATATCTTATTAAATTTAAATTAAAGTTCGCTCAACTATCATTTTGGAAATGCTTGAATAAGTAACAGACCTACAAATTGGTATTCACCAACCCAATGGAGACAAAGAAAGCTGGAGAGCTCTCACTTGAAACTATTCTGACGTAAGGGAAAAATAGGAGAAGATTAGCATTAGTTATTCCTCACTTATCATTGTGCCTGCCAGCCTATTTCTACAAAGAATATACTCATGTAGTTGGATCTCTACTAATTTTGTTGCTTACAGTAGCCCAATTCTACAATTCTTCAGTTTGTTATCCTTGGGAATGGTTGTAGTTATAAGTTTAGTTTACTCCATGAACTTCTCAAGATTTTTTATTGAAAAAGCCTTTCAAAACTTGTTTTTTGGAGAGTTCATGTACAAATAGGTTTTTAAGGTTTATACAGCCTTCTTTTGATTGGAAGAGTGAACACAGAATAGGAAAAGTGAGTAGCCAACCTGATGGCGTTGAAGATAGCAAACAAGTTTGTTGTATAATCTTGTTATATAGTCTTCCTGAGGTTTTGTCTAATTACGAGAGAGATAAAAGATATTCTGTCTAAATTTTGTTTATGACTTTTCAAATATCTAGCTCATTTTGTATGTCCAAGGTGACCGAATCGAATCCTATACGAGGATTTGATGCACAGTGATAAGAGCATTATTGTATTTGCGAGCCCTGTTGCATGTCAGAATTGAACTACTGACCAAAAATAAGGTCCCTTCTGATTTAAGTATCCTCTAAACTTCCCATTAATAATTCGAGGCACTCATTTTTCGGTATTGAGACTCTCTTCATGATTCACTATCGCAAAACATGCTTTTATTTAACCTTGTATCTCACAATCGAACTACTGACCAAAAAAAAAAATAAAATTGACAAATTGCAGGATGGATGGTTCTCTGGTGTTGCATCGCGATGAGAAAGAAAATGGGACGAGTCCCGATGATATATTAGTTCGCCGTTTAAAAAATCGAGAGAGACAACGTAGGTACAGGGCCAGAAAACGTCACCAAGCTGATCTTATAAAAACCTCAATTGACAACCAATCATCCCCTCATATTCATTACCAGCCGATTCCTTCCGAGTTCATTTCAGTGCCTGTGGAAGTTGAGAGTCCGGAAGGTTCCAGTTCTCCCGATCACTTGACCCGTGTTCATTGTCAGAGAGATTGGAAGAAAGATGCTAGGAATGCCCACATGCACAAGAAACAAGAATCGGGTTCAATTGACAAAGCAGATTTACCGTCAGACAATTTGAGCACTGTCCCAGTTGATGATGATGCAAGAAATAGAGTACAGCCGAGCAGGAGGCATTGGAAAGCAGAGGCAAGAAACAAGAAGAATTTGGAGTGAGAGAGATCGAGAGTTTTCTGGTGTTGTGTAAGCTTTTGCTTGTTATAGTTTTTACTGTTGCAATGCGAACACCTTTTGAGATATGTCGTCTTTATTAGTAANGTTTCTTGCAGATTTTATGTTGATAAAATGAAATCCTTACGTGGAGCTGCGTGTTTTGTGGGAAGACTTGCGGAGGGGAATTATTATCAGACAACTTTAGTTACTTACAATCGTAAGAATCTCGAAGGTGAGTATTTTGTAAAGCAATTCATCCACTTGTAATCTAGTGTGCTGTGTTTTTCTACTGTACGTGTTGCAATACATCTGAAAGCATATTTAGTCGGCAGATCCTATTGGGGCCAGAAGTGTGTGTTCAATGTAAAGTTTGAATACTCAACCGATTCATTGTAGGTATAATTAATTTGCTGGTATTCCTGTTTTTATTAAGATGATTCTAACGACGTCCCTTATCTGTTGTGTACTGTTTAGTGTCATTTTATACTTAAAAAAGGTTCTGAAAGGCACATTACAGTGATGCATGTTTTCATGCAACGGTATACGCTTCAGTTTGTTAGAAGAAAATAAGTTAGAAAATATACTCCGCCATCGGTGGTTCGAACTTAATACAAGATAATTTTTCAGCTGGAATTCTAGTAGTATTGTATGATTTTAGTGTAAAGAATTTGTTCTCTATTCAGAGTTTTGGTTAGATTCACTTTCGTTTGTGTTTCACTGAATTTTACCCCTCCTTTGATGAATATTGGTATGGTTGCTTCTTCTCGGTTTTGAATTTGTTTGCTGTCTTTTAGGTGGCTCTTAATATGTTTCACCATAATATTAGCATGATAATTAATATTAAGATGTAAAGTGTACATGGTGCCATTTAATCAATTAAGAAGGAATCTTTGTTTGCTCAGTACGGGGTCCCGTTGGTCATTGTGATGTGAAATGGTTGGATTAGACTAGACATGGACAAATTCGGTTTTGGGCCTGACCGCCGGGTATGGGCCAAGGGTTGGCTGATCCTGAACCGGCCCAAACATATGTAAGGGCCAGTTCGGCGAACTGGCGTTTTCGAGCCGGTTCAGTGAACCGCCGGTTCTGACCTGGCCTGATTCATTTAAAAAGATAAAAAAATAAAAAAATAACTAAAAAATAAGAAAACAAAAAACAAAAAATGGTCGAACCGTTGGGCTGGTTTCGACCGGCGATTCAAAAAGTGCATATATGAAACCTGGTACTGGCCCGGCTCAAGGTCTGTTGACCACAAGCCTGTTCCGAGTTGGTTCAGGGCTGAGTCGGGTTGACCCGACGGATTGGGTCGGTCTGTGGTATATGGTATTAATTTAATTAATATCTTTTCAAGAAAATAAAAAATAAAAAATAAAAAAAAGATTTTTTTTTTATTTTCATGGACATGCATTTTTTAAAATATCTTGATGCCCTTTCCTTTCACCACATTTGGGAATGAGAAGTAACTCGTCGTGAGTACATGGGAAACTGAAAGCGGAGGTAAGCAATTCAGGATATGGGAAACTGAAACATAGCTGTAACTAAAGTTTGAACTACTGATAGGATAGAGGGGAAATATATATGATTTTATGAAATAATTTTATAAATTTCCATGTCATGTTAACTATAAGACAAAATAAAAGTAGTAGAAATAAAATATATATATATATATAATTAAATTTTTTAAAATATTAATATTATGTGAAACTGAATTACTATTATTATATGCTATTAAATATTATTACTTTTTATATAATCTAAATAAAATTGTCATAAATCAAAGAAATTGACACAGTTAAAGCATAACTAGTATTCGACCTTGTGCACATGCACAGAGACAAATAAAAGTTTATATATTATATGTATATATGTCTATAATATTTAAAATTTTAAATTAGACAGTGTGTGTTACATTTTAAAATTTTGACTATATGGAAATACAATATAAATATAAGTTATTTTACTTACATATGAATCGTTATTTGATTACATAAAATGAAATGTAATTTTTAATTTAGAAGGACCATCCAATTAATTAGTTAGTTAGAAAAGTATTATATTTATTTTTATTATTCTTATAACAATTGTTTATGTGATTTTAAGGAGTTTAATTATGGCACTCGTACGAATTAACTAATATTAGAAATAATTCACTTAATGATAAAAAATAATATTTATTGTAAATTAAATATCTTAAAGAAAAAAAAGTTTGCAATATAATTTTCTATAAGCATGTAACCTTTCACATAAGACTTAATGTAAATTTATAATTAGTTATTATTAGTAGTACTATTATATAATAAATTAGTTTAAATATTATTACACCAAATTAATGTAAAATGTAATGGTTTCCTTTTACATTAACTGAAAAAAATGAGGGAAATTTTTTATAATTTGTATCAATTGTATAACTTACAATTATATATAGAGAGAGATAATAATAATAATAATATTTTTATTATTGGATTGTAACAGAAAAAGGCGGGAAACAACAAATAGTTTTATTATATTTTAGATATAGATAACGAAATTGAATTATAACGGTTTTTGGCGGAAAAATTATAGAGGTTTTATTAAACTAGTGCAGAGCCCATGCGATGCACGGGATGCACAATTTTAAGGTTATTTATCTAAACTTATAATTATATACATGAATAAAGAAAATGTACGGGATACATGTTGTACGTGACCCGTGCGAGGCACGTGATATATTTATTTGGGGAATATTATATTATAAGATACAATATTAAATAAAAGTTTTATAATACGTAGAAAATTTGTACAATAAGATAGTATTGGACAAAGAAACAATCATATATTATAAATCTACACAAACTATAAATATTAGAATGACTCAATATTTTGAAATTTATAATTTATAATTGGTAGAGTAGAATCAATATTTGTTAAGATTTTTAAGAAAAAATCTTGATATACGAAAATCACATTATATGTAGAGGAACAAATCAGATCAGAATTTTCATACAATTAGATAAGATTTTTTTGTACAAAGATAAGAAGAAATTTTAAATCTACACAAACTATAATTATATGTAGAGGAACAAATCACATCAGATTTTCCATACAATTAGATAAGATTTTTTTGTACAAAGATAAAAAGGAATTTTAAATCTACACAAACTATAAATATTAGATGTATTGATTTACGTAAATCAATATTTATATAGGCAACCAAACCCTTCAATTTAGGCTTGACATTTGATTTATTTTTGTTAAAATCAAGATTTTATCTTCCGACCAAATCTACTTTTTTTTTTTTACTTACTGTTTTTTGTACTAATTTTATGGGAAGAAACAATTAAGTAATAATAAGATTTTTACCATACAATAATAAGATTAAAACAATTAGAACAATTAAATAAGATTTTTCATACAATAACAATAAGATTTTTTATAAAAAGATAAGAAAGAATTTTCAATCTACACAAACTTTAAACATTAGATATATTTACGCAAATCAATAATTATATAGACAACTAATCCTTTCAATTTAGGCTGGACATTTGCTTTATTTATGGGTAACGTAAAATAAAAATTTAATTTTGACCGATTAAATCTTTATTTATATGCTTGACATATAAAACCGATTTTATGAGATTTTTTTAACTAAGCCAATGTTATGAAATAAAACAAATTTATACTTACCTTTGACTTTTTCAACAAAGGTAAAAAAATCGGTTCTGATTTTAATTACATAACAATCTTTATGTCAAGCATATAAATACCAAAATAAATCTGTAATTAATGTCATTTATATTTCCAGCAAGCATTAATTACTTTGACTTTTCTAGCTACTATTTCTAGTAAATAGGATTATTTTTTATATAAGTATAAATAGGTTTTATCAAATGATATGCTAGTAATTATATATATATATATATATATATATATATATATATATTTTAATTCTGAACTTTGACTATTTGATTTTGTACAGGACATTTCGATTTGATTCTCAATACGAACGTCTATCTTCAAAGCCATATCAATTTTCTTTTAATTTAAAATAAATTAATTTTTAGATAATTATTATTTTTCGATGTTTCGACTTTCGATTCGGTTTTTGGGCCGGTATTATTTTTGGAGTAATGCTATAGGTACGTAATAATGTACATAGAGGTGTGCATAACACTCACGGTCCTACCAAAAATAAAAAATTAAGTAGACCCCACTCGATATGAGTGTTATGTACGCTTCTATATACATTTATAATATGTAATTGTAGCATTTTTCTTATTTTTGTTGCCACTCTTCAGATGCAATGCACCTACCCACAACCAAAGTCTCCAAACGTACACTCAAATGCACACCAAAATAAATAAATAAAAATCTCAAAACCAAATAACAAAAAAATCTTTCCCCACCTATTGCACAGTCACACACTCCATTACTTTATCTCTTCCATCTCTCTCCACCACCACTAGACTTTCCCAAATCCCATCTCCCTCGCAATCACTGCACAAATCACTGCAAAAATCACATGATTATCATCACGTATATTGAGATGAAAAACCATTTGTACTGAATTTCGCTTTCGCTTCATTCCCTTTTCGTCTCCGCCGATGAGTCTATGGAGCACCGCCGCCCCATCATCGGCGGCAGATGGAGATGCCGCCGTGATGGAGGCGTTCATGTCCCATGATTCGGATCTGGCTTCTTTCTGGCCCGCATCCGCTTTCGCACCACAGACCCAGTTCAACGGGATTTCCTCTCCTGCCCATCCTCCTCCGCCCGCCGGAGACCACCCCAGTACCACCTCCGCCGCATCCCAGTTCAATCAGGAGACCCTCCAGCAGCGCCTTCTGGCCTTGATCGAGGGCGCGAGGGACACTTGGACCTACGCCATATTCTGGCAGTCCTCAGCCCTTGACTACGGCGGCACGCCGGTGCTGGGCTGGGGCGACGGCTACTACAAGGGAGAGGAGGACAAGGCCAAGCGCAGGACGGCATCCTCCCCCTCCGAGCAGGAGCACCGGAAGAGGGTTCTCCGCGAGCTCAACTCCCTAGTCTCCGACCCGCAATCCGCCGTCGCCGACGATGCCGTCGACGAGGAGGTCACCGACACCGAATGGTTCTTCCTCATATCCATGACCCAATCCTTCGTCAACGGGTCCGGCATCCCGGGCCAGGCCCTGTACACCTCCAGCCCGGTCTGGGTCACCGGGCCCGACCGGCTCGCCGCCTCCCCCTGCGGCCGGGCCCGCCAGGCCCACGGGTTCGGCCTCCAGACCCTCGTCTGCATACCCTCCTCAAACGGCGTCGTCGAGCTCGGCTCCACCGAGATCATCTTCCAGAGCTCAGATCTCACCAGGACCGTCAGAACCCTCTTCAACTTCGACCCACCCGAAACCGCCCACCCCTCCTGGCCCCCTTCCGACCCCGACCATGACCCCGCCGCCCTCTGGCTGGNGTCTCAACGCTACCACCTCCGCCCTCCGGACCACCAATCCCTGCAAGCCCGAGTCCGGCGAGATTCTCAACTTCGGCGAAACCCAAAACAACATCCCGAACAAGAAGAAAAAAGCCTCCCCAACTTCAAGAAGCAGCAACAACATCAACAACAACAACAACGAGGGCATGATGTCCTTCACCTCTCGAGCCATCGTCAAAATGGACGATGGCTGCACCACCATAGACTCAGACCAGTCGGACCTCGAGCCATCCGTGGCTCGTGAAGCCGAGAGCAGCCGAGCCGTCGCTAACCCCTCCTCGCCGGAGAAGAAGCCCCGCAAACGAGGCCGTAAGCCCGCCAACGGCCGATTGGAACCTCTGAACCACGTGGAGGCCGAGCGGCAAAGGCGGGAAAAGCTGAACCAGAAATTCTACGCCCTCCGAGCAGTAGTCCCAAACGTGTCAAAGATGGACAAGGCCTCGTTGCTAGGTGACGCCATATCCTACATCAACGACCTCAAGTCCAGGCTCCAATCGGCCGAGGCCGACAGGGATGAACTCCGGCGGCGGCTCGAACCTTCCGGGAAGTCAAAGTCAAAGTCAACTCAGGGTAATCAAGAAGTTGACTCGGGTAAGGGCGCGTTTGGGGAGTTGGAGGTGGATGTGAAGATTATGGGTCGGGATGCCATGATTAGGGTGCAGTGTGGGAAGAGTAACCACCCGGCGGCTAAGCTGATGGTGGCTTTGAGGGAGCTTGAGCTTGACGTGCACCATGCCAGTGTTTCGGTTGTGAATGAATTAATGATACAGCAGGCCACGGTGAAGATGGAGGGCCGGTTTTTTACGCAGGAACAGCTGAAGGGGGCTCTGGTCTCAATGTTTGGGGAAGGAAGGTGAAGGGTACTGTTTTTTTCTTTTTTCCGCGAAGGGTACTGTTTTTTTCTTTTTTGGCGGGAAAAGAGGTCGGTTGAGGATCGGGAGCTCGGGGGTTTTGTTGATTTATATATAGTGTGTGTATGTGTGTGTGTGTGTGTATGTGTTTTGTGTAGGTTAAGGTGTTTGTGGGTTGGGGGAGGAGGGTTTATTTATGGTTTTAGAGTTTTAGCATTTGGTGTGTAGTGAGTGTGGAGAGTTTGGTTGGGTGTGTAAATAGGTGTTTTTGATGGTGTGCTGAAAATGTTGGGGTTTTGTTTATGTGATGAGATGTGTGTGGGATTTGTGTGTTTATAGTTTGTGATGGAGTTAAGAATGTGAATTTTCTGAGAATAGTTGTTGGTTTGTCTGAGGAGTAGTAGTTGGTTGTGTTTGTGCACAATTGGTGCACAAATAACTGCTGCTGATGTCTTGAGTTATTGGGAGACCAATGAAGACTCTACTTTTAACTGATATGCATATTTTTAAATTAAAATAAAATGTTATACTTTTATGCATATCAAATTAAAATGTTATACTTTATAAAAGTATGATTAATCCACGTATTAGGCCGAGTTACACAGCAATTAGTGTGGGGAGAAGCACAAAAGTTTTGAAAGTGATTTTGCAGTGTAATTTGTCTTTTGTTAGGTAATCAATTATGTAAAAGAATGAGAAATCCAAAGATTAGGCCGAGTTACACAAAAATTAGTGTTGGGAGGAACATAAAAGTTTTGAAAGTGATTTTGCAGTGTAATTTGTCTTTTGTTAGGTAATCAAGTGGGATTTGCTCAACTCGAATAACAAAAGAAAATGCGTATCTGTTGATTCTTGAGGATGAACATGCTACAAAGTGGGATTTGTCCATCTCAACAGTCAACCCCAAAATAAATGAAAAAATATGAATCAGTTGAGATATGCCTTTTTACTTTTTTCTATTCTACAAAAAGCTCGGTCTTTGAGTAAATCATAAAAAGGCAGAAGAAATGTGAATTTCAAAGGTGATTATCCCAAATCCTTCAATCAGGGCGATCTTTTTGTGTAAATTTTGGCGGAGAAGATTGCACATTTAACTCTGTGTGATTGATCATGTGTGATCGATCATGTAGCAAATTTGTCCCCAAGTAATCCAAATATGATCCTTCTGTTTTCCTGTCAAAATTATAGTTCTAAGGGCGTTAAATTGTAACGGAGTTTTAATCTAGCCGTTAGTGGTTAATTTGAAAATAAGAACATTGACATCTCAACATATGTAAAATTATTAATATAGAATTTTTGACAAACTACATATTTAAAATTATTAATCTCTTGTTTATGTTCAGTAATAATGTTGCTAAATTCTATAGCAATAGGTACCTCTCAAAAGCCGAACCGACTCCCAGAGCCGAACAGAAGACCCAATCGAGTACAAGTGCCGAGCTGAATTCCAGATCTAATTAGCCCAGACATATCCGCGGGTCCGTCCACGAGCCCGGCGTTTGTGCTGTTCAGACACCGGTGCCGACCTAAAGCAGGTGACGGGCTGAAGTAAGGTCCCGGAGGGCCAGAAGAACGAAACGGGATCGGGAGGCGACCTGAGGTTTCGGGGCGGTTGCCCCAGAGATGGATGCCGAGCTCGATAATATTATAATAATGCCACTTGGAGAGCAATCATTGGTGATTGGACGTGGAGCCGTAGCCTGCAGGTCTACATCCACTAGCCAAGGCATAAAGCCTGCCAGCATTAAATGACCCCCATGTGTGCATTAAATGTCTGCCAGGCAATGATGAGGAAAACCTCAAATCGCATTAAATTCTGTCAGGGAGACGCCGAACTGCTTTGCCAGAGTACTGTATCACAAGATTGGTGAACAGTACCTGAACAGTGCCACATTTAAGGCCACTATAAATAGTAACCCATCTCATTTATTTCTGAGTTGTTGTTGAATCTCCAACTTTTAGACTCTCTCTCTACTTTATCTCTCTAGACTTGTAATCAACCTCTGTAAGAATTCGTAAGGACATCGCAAGTGTCGACCTCGCACGAGAGGCCGACCTCGTGATCAAATAATAAAATCATAATTAAATCGTATTTTCTTCCCCTTTTCCTATTTCATATTTCTTATCATGTTTCTTTAACCGTTGACCGGAAACGTTCGTCAACAACGTGGATACAATTACTTACCAAAAATAAAATATTTTATATTCTTTACATTATATCATCGTAACAAATCTTATTTTTATATTTATATTGTATTAACATTTTCAGTTACTAATAAATAAATATTTAATTTTATCAACGTTTTAAAAGACCATCGAAGCTTACTAGGCGACGGGCTGGACCTAGCGCCTAGAATACCTAAGCAAAGACTTAGATAAGGGTTGGAAAAAAACTAATAAATTTATTTATTTTATCATTATGCATTGCCACAACATACATGTACAAAATACACTAAATTAGTTTGGTTAACTATAAAGATTATGAGAAAAAAACTATAAAGATTATATTTATTGGGAGATGTTACGGTCTAACGGTTACAAACCCCAACAGAATAGTTTCGTAACGGGACTGTAACATTTTCCATGATTATTATATTAAATTTAATACAATTATTATTTGTTAGAATTTTAATTATTGTATATTCTACGTGTACACTTAAAATCTATTTTATTATTTGATAATAAACTAAAAAAGGATATTCACCTACCCATTCTGGAAGACAACAGGACAAAAATTGGGTTGCATGAACAAAAATTCTATATATGGAGTCATCGTATCCACCACTTAATGTATTGACACGTGTCCAAAGTGTATTTATTGTATGACACGTGTCAATGCACTATTAGTGAATAAGTGTGGATCACTCCATAAGTCGAGTCATTCAATGACTCCATAGCAAAACTGGTTGCATGAATGTGCCTAGCACTAACCCGATTTTTAAAATAAAACTTTTACCAATATGATTTGCATTTTATAAGAAAATAATAATTTCGGCTGGAAAAAATATTGTAAAGTAATCTTGATTGTGATTGTAAATATAATAGACACACAAGAAATTTTATTACGATAATATGACAACAAAAATCAAGAAGGGATCAATTGCTTATCGAATCCATAAGACTCAACTAACAACTATAAAAATAAATAGGTATGTGATATTATTAAAACTAATAATTATTTGGAATAAAGTTGTAAAATTGATTCTATAAGATTGGCTGAATAGCAAAATTGGTCCGTGAGTTACAAATTAATACCCATCTAACTAATGACTTGACCACGTACTGTGGGACTAAAATTACACAGAAAATGTTAAATGATCACTTTTGTCACATATTAAAACTAAGTTTGCAATCAATTTTGTGGGACAATATTTTTTTTTTTTTTTTTTTTTTTTTTTTTCCAAACGACAAACTATTATAAAATCTCAAAGATAGTCTTACAATCGATCAACCAAATGGTCGAGAGGATACTCCCCTTTCCTAACGAAACAAAGAGAATACCTCCAGGGAAGTCACGAGGACCCCTGAATCGCCACACCCAAAAATAGATTACAAAGAAGGAGGAGAATAAATAAAATTACAAATGTTAAAAGAGTTAACAAGAGCATAAATATCTTGAATGATAGCAGACAAAGCCGGATAGGCAACTGATTTCTGTTGCAAGTTCTCGACCACTGATTTGCTGTGAAGAAAGCAATCAAAGTTGTTCCAATTCCACGAAGCTGCTAGTTGTAAGCTCCACTTGACAGCTTGTATAATAGCTTCCTCAAGGCTGTCTGCTTGCTCCAAATGAGAGTGCCTGCTTGTCAGCTCTTTACCTTCCGTTAATGAAGTGCAACAAATTTCATAAACACCATTAGAACATAAGGCACTGACGCGTAAGCTCGAGCGTCCTACCTTCCTGGAAAACTGTTCTTGATGTATGTTGTCTGAATTGTGAAACTCTTCCTGTGAGGAGATGGTGTCAGTAAGGCCCGAGTATTCTAACCATTCATGTTGTGCACTCGACACTAAAGCTTTCTCCAGCCACTTTTCTTTCGCGAGCACCCAGGCATTTCTGGCACGCCAAAGGTTCCAAATTAGGTGAGCAGAAAGGCAGATTCTGTCAAATTTGCAGTTGGTCAGATGGATATTGCAGATGGATGACCACCAATGTTGAAAACAGGTGGAGCTGTCTTCTCCAATATTCCACTGAAGACCACAAAGTTTCCAGCATGTTTTTGCTTTGGGACAGAAAAATAAAACATGCATTAAGTCCTCCATACCATCACCACACACCCTGCAGGTTAGGTCAACAAGAATCCCTTTTTTCCACAAATTAGAATTAACACTCACAAGATTATTCCAACATCTCCAGATAAAATTTTTTATTTTGTTCTTCAGAGGCCCAAGTGAATAACCACATCTTACTAATAGTTTTGGGGAAACCACTAGAGCTCACAGTGGAAGCAGGGTTTGGGGACTGAAGGGCTTTCAGAATCGCATTATAGGCATCTTTAACAGTAAAAATTCCTTTTTTGTTCCAATGCCAAATTAGGTAATCCCTGCCCCCATGTTGCCTCAAGGGGATGTCAAGGATAAGTTGAGCGTCGGCAGGATTGAAAGTTTGGCACACCAAGTCCCTGTCCCAAGAGTAAGTGTCCTGACAAATGAGGTCACTCACCAAATTCAGTCTGAGCTTGTCCTCTGAAAAGTGACAATAAGGCTTAAAGGTGGAGTTATTAGGGATCCAAGGGGATTCCCAAATGTTTATGTTGTAGCCACCACCCACTTGAAACCTTGCACCCAAATTTAAGAATTTCCTGGCTCCCAACCAGCTCCTCCAAAGCCATGAGTCCCCATTTTTTGCCACCACATCATCAAGTTTTTGATTTTTAAAATACCTCCCTTTGAGTACCCTGCTGATCAGTAGGTTTGGTTTAGTGGTGATCCTCCAGAGTTGCTTAACCAAGAGTGCTTCATTGTAAGCCCTTAGGTCCTTGAAACCCAGCCCTCCCGCTTCTTTA